GATCACCTAGGAAACAAACCTAACAGTGGTATTGCTAGGTCAAAGGGTGTACACAGTTTTATACCTCTTCGGACATCATTCCAAATTTCTCTACAAAATGGTTGGGTCAGTTCACAGCTCCACCAACTGTGTATCAGTGTCCCAATTTTTCCACATCCCCTCCAACATTTGTTATTTTCCCCTTCTATCATTTTAGCCAATCTGATAGGTGTAAGTCGGTTCCTCAAAGTTGTTTTCATTTGCATTTCTCTAATCAATAATGATTGAGAGTATTTTTTCATGTGTCTATACATAGCTTTGATTTCTTCCTCCAAAAACTGCCCCTTCCTATCCTTTGACCATTTATCAATTGTGAAATGACTCACATTCTTATAAATCTGATATAATTCTCTATATAATTCAGATATGAGGTCTTGATCTAGGAAACTGTTTATAAATCTCATATTTTTCTGCTTTCCTTCTAATCTGGGCTACATTGGTTTTATTTGTACAAAACCTTTTTAATTTAATATAATCAAAATTATCCATTTTACATCTCACAATGCTCTCTGTCTCTTGCATATTTATAAATTCTTCTCCTATCCACAAATCTGACAGGTAATGTGTACCATGTTGTTCTAATTTACTTATGATATCTCCCTTCATGTCCAGGATTCAGTCATGAATCCATTTTGACCTTATCTTGGCAAATGGTGTAAGATATTGGTCTATACCCAATGTCTGCAAGACTGCTTTCCAGTTTTCCCAACAATTTTTGTCAAACAGTAAATTCTTATCCTAAAAGCTTAAATCTTCACATTTATCAAACACGAGGTTACCAAAATCATTTACTACTGTGTATTGCATCTCTACTCTATTCACCATCACCATATGATGTGGTGCTAGGAATGCTAACAAGAAAACAAGAAAAAGAAACTGAGAGAATGAGCATAAGTAAAGAGGAAATAGAACCATCACTTTTTGCAGATAATATAACGGTTTGCTTAGAGAACCCAAAGAGTCTGCTAAAAGTTCAAATGAAACAATAGCTTCAGCAAAGTGGCAGGACATTAAACAAACCCCCATAAATCATCAGAATTTCTGCATATCACAAACAAAACCCACTAGGAAGACATCAAAAGCGACACTTCACTTCAAATAACCACAGAATGCATAAAATACACGGGAGTTTACCTGCCAAGACACACACAAGAACTATATGGATGCAACTACAAAAATACTTGACATAAATAAAGACCTAAATAATCAGAAAAGTGTAGGCTGAGCCAATGTAATAATGACAGTATTATCTAAATTAACTTGCTTATTGAGTGCCACACCAATAAAAATATCATAACATTCCTTTATAGCATAAGAAAAAAATAATTAACAAAATTCAACTAAAGGAACAAATGGTCAAGAATATCAAGGGGATTAATGGGAGAAAAAAGGCAGGGGACGGAAGGGCACCTAGCAGGGTGAGATCTTAAAAGCTAAGAAACAGAAAGGAACAGATTAGGCAACAATATATAGAAGAAAATGAGGCCACTAGTCTAGTTTTTGGCAAACCCAAAGACCCCAACTACTGGGGTAAGGACTCATTATTAAAAAAAAAATTGCTGGGAAAACTGGAAAATGATCTGCCAGAAACTAAGTTTAAACTAGCAACTCCTACCATCTACTAAGACGAGCTCCAAATGGGTGCATGACTTAGACATAAAAGATAGCATCACAAACAAATCAGAGAAGCTGGGAAGAAATTATCTCTCGGGGCAGCCAGGTGGTGCAGTGGACAGAGCACTGGCCTTGGATTCAGGAGGACCTGAGTTCAAACCCAGCCTCAGACACAAGACACACAACACTTACTAGCTGTGTGACCCTGGGCAAATCACTTAACCCCATTGACTATCCTAAAAAAAAAAAAAGAAAGAAATTCTCTCTCTAATCTATCAATGGAGGAAGAGTTCATGACCTAAAGACAGGGAGGATCACAGATGATAAAATGAACAGTTTTGGTTATATAAAATTGAAAAAGGTTTTGCATAAATAGAACCAATGCAGCTAAAACCTGCATGGAAGTAACTGGGAAAAAATTATTTGTAGCAAATTTCTCAATAAAGATCTCATTTCTTTCTTTCTTTTTTTTAGGCAATTGGGGTTAAGTGACTTGCCCAGGGTCACACAGCTAGTAAATGTCAAGTGTTTGGTCTGAGGCCACATTTGAACTCAGGTCCTCCTGACTTCAGGGCCGGTGCTCTATTCACTGCGCATTAAAACAACCCTGATGCCCACATCCAACAGACGAGCCAACTGACAAAAAGGGGAAATGGCCAATGCTGGAGGGTCTGTGGGAAAACAGGCACACCAGTGCATGGTTGGTGGAGCTGTGACATGGTGCAGCCAACATGGAAAGCAATGTGGAACTCGCTAGGTCACTCTGCATGGCTTCTGAGTTCGCTTCCCAGTGTGCCTGGTTTGGCTAGCAGGGCCTGAGGGCTCCAGGGCTTAAGATCCTGAAGGAACAGCCATTTCATTTTTGCCTCCGTCCTCCTAGAGCCAGCGGGAGCCAAACAGAATTCTATTTTGGAAGACACAGGTGGGGATGACACCCGTGCCTCATGCTCACCCCTGCCCCGACACAGCTGGTTACTGCGTGTCTCTGATCCCAGAGAGATGCTGGCAGCGGTGCTCATCCTTCGAGGCCCAGCCCCGGCCCCAGCTGGAAAGGCTCCTTCCCTCAGCACACCAGGCCTCTCGGATAGCTCATTCCTTCCCTCCCACAAGAGTCCCGACACATCTTCAGAGGAGGGAAACATTCAGAGGCATGGGGACTTGCCCGCAATCACCCAGCTGGGCAGGGTCCGGTACACTCTAGGTCAGGGGATTGGTGCTAAAGGCAGCCCCTGAGGAGAGGGACGGAGCCCCCTCTGATCCCCCACGACCCCTGAGGGGGAGGAGGCTTGTCCAGGGTCACAGATGGCAGGGCCAAGGTTCAGAGGGAGTTTTCTGGTCCCAAACCTAGCCTCTGCTCATGACACACTTAGCCCAGTGTATCCCAAATCCTCATCCTTTGAGCTCTATCTTCTGGGCCCTAAGAGACTGGAACCTCCGTGAGGGCAGAATCTCAACACTTCTCTCTCTCAGCACAGACCCCAGGACGCGGCATGAAGCTGGTGCTTGATAAATGCCATATCACATGGAACTGGACTGCACATCTCTAACGACTCAGCCAAACCTCTGCGACAGATTCGGGTGGCAAAGGCCAAGGCCTCAGAATGCAGGCCCTGGGCCGCTCCATCACTCACACTCCCGAGCAGCCCTGAGACCTCAAGGGCCCTTCACCTCATCTGTGGCCTGGGCCCTTCTCAGAAACACCATTCAATGCACAGGACTGCACCAAAGTCACTTCCCCATCTACATTTTTTAAAGCAAGTTCAGGGAATGCCGTAGGCCCGGGTCCCAGGCTCTACTGTGCCACTCACTCCCTGCCTGCCCTAGGCTGGATGACCCCGGTGACCCCCACCCCACCCCCCCACAGCTCACTGAGCAGGTGGCAGTAAGTCTTCTCAGAGCCCTCGGGTCATGAGTGGAGATGGGGCCCAGCAGCCCAGGCGTCTGGGTTTCATTTGCTGCCCCCTCACTACCATAATCGTTATTTAATCACGGCATTTTGTACAGCATTTCCTTTGGGGACGCTTTATTTAGTAATCCATCATTAAACGAAAAAATTGCTGCTCCCGACCACAGCTCTCGGGCTCCTGCCAGGGACGCCAGGGGAGATGACCCCACACCCCTCCCCTGGCTCCGGGACATCAGGCAGAAACGGCCCTCTCGGTACCCCTTGCTGAGCCCCCTGTGGCTCCAGACTGGCCTAAAACAGATGGGCTTAAGTCACTGCCCAGACGTGCTTAAGCATGGATGCCTGTCTTCTCAAAAAGGAGCAGGACTAGCCCCTATGTCCACTGCTGTGGCATCCCCAAGGATGGCCAGGGCCAGCCCAAAAAGATCCATGAACAGGGGTGAGAAGCAGGGCCTAGGGCGCAGCAAAGCTGAGGGAGTTCCCCAGAGCCCGAACCGCTGACAGAGGTGAGATCCCCTCTCCCCATAAGCATGGAGGCAGGGACAAGGACCACTCTGGGTCACGTCCAAGGTGAAAAGGCTTTGGGCACACAAACAACATCGATGCTGATGAAAGCAAGAGAGAAGCTCGTGGGGCAGGAAAACCTCTGCATCCACAGCCCTGAGAAACAGCCAAGAGTCAGGTGAGGGAGACAACCCTGAGACCCCTGACGTCCGGGAGACGTCTCCAAAGGAAACACATGCAGATGAACAGAGAAATCCCCCCAAAGCCCCTGTTCAGGTTTCACGTCCACAAAGCAGGGGAACAGTGACATACAACCACAGCTCTGGATGTCAGACCACAGAAGCGCCCAGACGCCCCCAGTGCCAGGGCATGGGCGCTGCCAGAAGACAGGCAGGGACAGCGCCCAGAGCAAGGAAGATGGGCCTCCGCGCCCCTCTCAAGGCCAGCCTGGCGCCCTCAGCTGCTCGGGCTGGCTCAGCACGTCATCTTGGCTCTCCTGCAGAGCGGCTATGTGGGAGAGTGTGATTCCAGGTTGGGGAGAGGGGGAAGGGACAGAATTTTTAAACACAGAAAGACCAATACGACAGCACACAACACAGAGGAGTGCTCCCACAACCACTCTGGTGCATGCCTCAGGGAGCCCAGGTGCCCCTGCCAGCACAGCACCAGGGGCAGAGGAGTGTCACCAGGGGGCCCCCCAGAGGGGAACCCCTCGTTTCCACCATAGGAGGTACGGAGGCCACAGAACCCCCCACCCCACCCCACACCATAAGGGCACCATCCTGCCGACCCAACGGCGCCATCTGAACTCAGTACATGGCGCTCACACTCAGAGAGTGGCTGACAGCAGCCATAAAGCTTCCCCTCCTCATAAAGGAGAGAGGGGCCGGAGCGGCAAGGAGTGACGAAGCACTACAGGGCGAGCACTGCACCTTACCTGTCAAGTGGGAGTCCTGCTTCGCATCCAGCTTCTGCAACAAATCAATCAGCTCCACCGTGGTACCGATTAAATTCAAGTGCCTGTCAAAAGTGTTCAAAGAAAAAGGCCAAGTTCAGGACTTGCCTAATTCAGATGTCGCCGCCCTCCACAGCCCCCTTTACGGCTGCTCTTCCAGTGACTGGGGAGAGAGGGGGGCGCTCCTCCTGCTCCTGGGGACCAGCCTCAGACACTGACTCAGTAGGGAACCCTGGACAAATCGGTCAGCCTGGCAGTGCCTCAGTTTCCCCATCTGTTCAGTGGGGATCCTCGCTGCACACCCCTGAAACGCACATCATCACCACTAAAGTCTAACCTTAGGGTCTGGCTCCAGTTTGCTGGGCACCCAGGCTGGTGAAGCCTATGGAGGGCCCCCTCTCAGAAGAGAGGCTTTAGACATGTCAAATAAAACGCATAGAAACACCAAGAAAACCAATTCTACTAAAACAGTTATCAGTATCAAAGTAAAATAAAACAAAATTCTTGGACCCCAGGCTAAGAACTCTCACCTCCTTGTGGCCCAGAGTGTCCCTGCATTCCCTAAAGCTCTATCAAGAGAGCCTCAGCTCTCACAGGCCCTGGCAGGCTGGACTGGTCGCAGGTCTGGGCCAGGGAGGACCATGCGAGGACTCCATGAGGGCGAGCCTCAGCTCTCACAGGCCCTGGGGGCTGGACTGGTCACAGGCCTGGGCCGGGGGGACCATCCAAGGACCCCCTGAGAGCCAGCCTTAGCGACTCTCAATGATCACAGAGGCAGGCATCACCCACCACCCCACCAGGATGAACAGAGACAGACTTCTATCCTGGCTTCAGAGCTGGACAGGAGAAAGGGCTCTTGGAATCATCACAGACTAGCAGGAGGAGACCCCTGGGCCCGGGCATCACAGCTGCTCTCCACTAGCTGGGGCTCCCAGCATACCTGCCCCCCACTGTCCTCAAAATCTGATGGTCCCAGGGTCTCAGACCCCTCCCTCTCACCTGACTTCTTCCCTTCTTCCCCAGTGATGCCATGCAGGCCTGGCCGCTGGACACCCAGCTCAGGGGGCTTTCTCACCACAGCCCAGAGGTTAGCCTGGTGCTCAAGTTGGGAGGCTGGGCCAGGCGCTCTGGGAGAAGATCCAGGCCCACACGGGACAAGCCCAGGACACGGGCAGGCTCAAGACTGGCCCGTGTCTTTGCATCAGATGTCAAGAAGACAACTGTGCCTCTGCCCCCCAGAAGAGGCTGCATCCAAGGCCCCAGCTCTCTCGTTCTTAACACCACAGAGTGAAACGATTCACTGCTGAACCCGTCATAGCCAATGAACAGAGCTGACCTAGCAACATGTAGCGAGGAAGCAGCACAATTAAGCCACCAGTGCTACTCAAAGCCCTCAATGCCAATCAGCTGTGTCAGCTAATCGTTGCGACTCCAAGCCAGCGGGCACCCAACGTCGGCCACTGCCCACCATTCTCTGGCTGAGAGAACATCAGGGCAGGGACTGAGGGGGATCCCCAACAGGTCCCTGGATGAAGACGATCTGAAACGGACAATCAGGACAAGAGTGGAAATAGCTCTGCAGGAGGGATGCACACCCCAGCTCCGGGGAATGAGATTCCAGGCATTCTTGGCTCTGGGATGAGTGATCTCACCACGAAGGATGGACAACGGAAGGGGCACATAAATCAGCCAGGAGCCTAATCTCCCCAGATTCCACCTGGCCACCCCCAAACACAGCCATGCTTCTCAGAATCCAATCCTCCCCAAAGCCTCCCAAATCCTCCATTCGTCCTTCACTAAGCCCTGCCACGGCTGGAAGCCCCAAGAGGCCTCCTCAGGCAGCAGCCGCCTCACCCTGGGGGAGCTTCCTCCCCAAGAGGAGGGCGCCATCGGCCCAGGGCTGACTTCCAGATGCATCGCAGGCCGAGAGCCAAGGACAGGCAGTGTCTATCGTGGACAGACAACCCTGCCGGCCGAGGAGCCCACGATGGGGGAGAGGGAGCTTTCGGAGAGAGCACTGACTCCCCGGTTTGCCAGGCAGCCCCCCTCTGTGGTCACTAGTAATCAGTCGGGCACTGGGAACCTTCCATCAGCCTGCGAATAGGCACTGCTCATTGGGATTCCAAGCATACCGAGCCAGTGCGACAGGGCGGCTGACTCAACGTCCTCTAAGACACCTCCGACAAGGGTCTGAGCTGCACGGCATCGCCTGTACCAGCACAGAGCTTGCAAGGGGGCTCCAGGACCAAGACCCGCAGAAACCACAGAAGGCGCATCCCCTCAGCGCCTGGACGGAGGGATCGAGACAGACAGGCGACGGACGGCGCCTTCCAAAGCCCTGCGGGACAAGCCATGGGGGCAGGAAGCCAGGGCTCTCATCGATGCAGACCTCCAAATAGCCTGCAGGCCTCAGCCAATTAACAGTCCAGGACCTCCTCCCTGGTCAGAGGATGCACCTGTGTGCCCAAAAGTGTAAGAACGGTGTTGATCACCGCCTCGCAGACAAAAAGAGATCTGGCAGAAAGAACCCAACCCCGGGGATCGGGGAGGAGGGGAGGTAACCCTCAGTGGCCTCCGGCCCCTCCTGGAGCCACCTCCCACAGAGGACCTCGAGGGAGCCCAGCCCAGGGAGCCTTGTATTACTGAGCTACATCCCCCCCCCCCGCCCTGAGCCCAGGCAGGTGCAAGGGTCCCAGGATAGCGCTAAGGCAGGATTAGCACTCAGGACTCCTCACTGCGGCCCCCTCTCTGCTTCACCTTTCTCCTCTCCCCACCTTGATGACACGAGCATCCCGAGCCAGCCTGGGGCCTCCCTGGGCTTTGAGACATAGGCCTGCCACTTACTGATTGGGATTGCTTTCAAACTCAATGAACAAGCACCTACTTTATGTGCGCAGTCAGTGGGGCCCCTGTGACTCTGGGGATCTGGGGCCCCTGCTCAAGGCACATACACACTGAAGAAGTCAGCGTGGAACCCAGTTGATGGCTGGCCCTGAGGAGAGGGCACTGTGCCCCCTGGGAAGAGGGTCAGTGCCACACCTCTGGGGATGAGAGATGGGGCCACATCCCCCAAAGAGAGGGTTGGAACCATACCCCCCCCTCCCCTGAGAGTCAGTACCACGCCCCCCTCCCCCCGAGGAGAGGGTCAGTGCCACATCTCCTGAAGGCTCTGCACCCCGACCCTGGCAGAGCCGACCCCTGTGCTCTGGGCACCACAGGCCCTGCCTCAGTGCAGGTCACAGCCTTGGCCCATGCCCATGTCGGAGGAGGCACCCTACTTGATCATGCCCTGGTTCCTGGGGCACTGCACGCAGGCATTCCTCAGGCAGCGGAAGCACTCAGCGATGAGCTGCAGCTGGGGCTCCAGGTGCCCCCGGTGGCTGGCATCCTGGCAGGCCAGCTCCACCTCGCGGGAGGACTCCATCAGGATCTGCTGGATGCCCTGGAAGATGCGCTCGGACGTGGTTTCTCTGAAACAAGAAGAGGACGGGTGATAAATGGGAGCTGAGAAGGCATGTGGGAGAATGCCATGGCGGATGCCTGCCAAGTTAGCCCCGCTGAATCTGCACTAGGAAGCCTTAATGGGGATGTGGGGCAACCAAAGGCTGAGTTCCCAGACCAGGAGCAGCTATCTCAACTTTCAGTGACTCCACAGAGCAAGAGGCAAAAGGCAGCTCAGAGGGGGTGAAAACAGCTTGAAAACCAGTGCAATCGTGTGGTTAAACACGCAAGAACCTTGTCTCCAACATGTGAGGGAGGCAGCATGGAGGGGGGGCCAACTCCTGAGTATGTGACCTTGCACAAGCAGAGAGCGCGTCCTCCCTGGGAGCACCCTGGAGCGTGCATTTAGGGTTAGAGTTGTCGGTCCCAGGCCACCATTGCTCAGGGATCAGACCCACGCTGGGCCTCAGTTTCTTCATCTGCCGGTCCCTGCAGGCTCTAGCTCCTGCAGGCTACTTGCTCTGGGCGGTGTTTCCCTAGAACCCCAACAGCCTCAGTCCTCATAGGATCATGGGCTTCTCGGCCTTCATGTGACCGAGAGGTGGGGGGCTCGGGGGTGGATGAGAGCATGTGGCCAGCACAGCAATCTGTCAGGCCTGGCTGTGCCTCGGCCGGCGGTTACAAGCATTTTCTTTTTAGTTCTTGTTCTCCAGGGCCAGGGGGCGCAAGGTGGGGATGGGAGAAGGGAAAGAAAAAACCAGAAGTCTAGGACAACAAACAATGAAAGACACCAACGTATATATTTGTGCGTGTACAGACCCAGACTGTGCTATATGAGAGGGCACTGTACTGTATCACATTCTATATATGTTATATACTACAAACAATATTATTAGCATATTGTATTGTGTTATGTTATGCCATATATTACACTAGACCAGGCCTGCACAACACAAAGCCACTGGCCTCTCGCGGCTCGCCAACGCAGCCCACAGGCAGCATGTGGGGCCAATCTGTCTTTACATCTTCTACATGTTTCCTGAGCTGCCGAAAATACTTCTGCGGGCCACAGGTCATATGGGCCTGTCTTAGACTATATTGTATTGTATTATATTATACTGTACTCTATTGTGCACTAACACTATATATCATACTACACTATACTATACTATTATATTGTGTTATATAGGATATGTTGTATACTATGTTACATCCTACTATATTATATGATACTATCCTATAGTCTACCATTATATTATACTACATGTTCTCATGCTACACTATGCTACATTATATTGTGTTGTACTACGTTCTATTATGCCATCTGCTATATTACATATTATATTATACTAAAGGATACTATATCATACTACAGTATCATGTTGTATTGTATTATACTATATTGTTATATTTTGTCATATTATACCTTATATAGTCTATTGTGGTGTATTATATCATATTATCTTATGTTAGTCTTCACAACCACCCATTTTACAGATGAGGACATTGAGGCTGAGAATGCCTAAATGACTTGCCTAGAGTCTGACAGCTAGGAAGCGCTGAACCAGCCAGCCTTCCTCACCTGAGTCCGCAGCTCTGACCATTAATACCACCTAGCTGCTCCAGCACTAACAGTAAGAGTGGTCACCACAAATACCCCCCACACTTCCCATTCTTTCCCAATTTTTCAGATCTGAAAAGATGCAATCTGGCAAGAAGGGCCCCAGAATTCCCCAACATTCTTACGTCTGGACCAATCACAGATGGTGAAATCAGCTGATGAGGAAGAAATCTGGGCCAGAGGCCATGACCAGGCTCGCCAGGTCTCTGTTGGGCAAACCTCACTTCCCCAATGAGGACGCAGGTGATTGGCCCTTTGGAAAAGGAGCCGCCCCCCACCCCCGACATGGAGACACTGAGCTCCCAGGATCATGGGGGCTGGGGGAGCGCACAAAGACACTAGGGAACAGCCTGCAGAAGCTCCTATCAGATAGGGAAGGAATGTATCCCCTCAAGACAAGGCACAAGGGAGACACCGCTGCAGAACAAAAAATCCTTTGAATCAGACAAAAGGTAGAATTTCCTTTCTGTCAAGTTTGAACAGATCTGGAGGTTTAATCTAGGCAAGCCCAGGTGGGCTAAAATGGAAGAGAAGAACAGCTAAGAGGGTCTAAGGCTACCAGAAGACCCACTCGTGGAGAATTCATTTGGGGGCTCCTGCTAAAGGAACTAAAGGCCAGTCCGTCACTGTGCCACCAAGGCAGGACCTTCAAAGGCACTCAGAGATGAATCCCAGTGCCTTAGCTCTGCTTCCCAGGGGTAGACATGGCTTGGAGGGGCTCAAGAAAAGAATGACTAAGAACATGGCCTGCCGGCAGCTTGCCGCCTGGAGGCACCCTAAGCCCCCACCCCTCCCTTCCTGGCCTGCCAGCACAGGGGCCTACTCGGAGTCTTCTTGGGAACCTCAGGGGCCATGGGCCCCCCTCTCCAGATCCGTGCCAGACTGACCCTCGGCCTTCTTCTGCTCACCCTCCCAAAGGGTCAGCGGTGCTTAACATCTCTGGGCCCGTATCAACCTCCCTCTGCTCCAGCCAGCTCCTCCAGACCTCCTTGCCCGGGCACATCAAAGAGCGCCCACCCGGGACCCACTCTCATGTTGGCCATTCAGTGGCTCAACCTGCTAAGGGCCTGCAGCAAGGTGGGGGCAGTGTCACAGGAGGAGGAGGGTGAGGAGAAATGTTCCAGCTTGGCTATGGGAGGCAGGGAGTGGCAAGCCTGGGTGAGAGAAAGGTGGTGGTGCCCTCGATGGCAACAGACAAGTCAGGAAGAGGGGACGGTTAAGTGTGAGGCGCCCGTGAGAAATCCGAGCGGAGATGCACCAGAGACCGTCGGCGACACGACACCAGAGCTCAGGAGAATGGCAGCTGCTGCCATTGTTCAGTCATTTTTCAAGCGTGTCTGACTCCCCGCAACCCCATTTGTGGTTTTCTTGGCACAGATACTGGAGCTGTTTGTCACTGCCTTCTCCAGCTCATTTTACAGATGAGGAACTCAGACAAACAGGGTGAAGCGACTTGCCCAGGGTCATACAGCTAGTGAATGTCGAGGCTGGATTTGAACTCGGGTTTTCTTGACTCCAGACCCAGCACTCTATCCACTGCGCGTCACTGCCAAGGAGAGAGACTGTGGCTCAACCAATGAATGTGGGAAGCACGTGCCCAGAGAGGAGAGCTGAATCCATGAAAGGTGAGGATATCACCAAGCTAGATGATCCAGGCCCTACAAGAGAAGGAGGCCCAGTGTGGAGTTAGCTGGTGGGGCCCAGCTGAAGATCCAGCCAAGAGCCCGAGAAGGGGCCATCAGCCAGGGAGGAGGCCAAGGTCCAGGGGAATGAGGACTGAGAAAAGGCCAGCGGATGTGGAGCGGGCAGCAGCCAGACCACAGAGGCTCAGCAGCTGAGGACACCCAGATCGCACTCCCCGTTCACAGCCTCTCTCCTCAACACCAATCCTGAATCGCCGACCGCCAGGAAGAACTCATTCTCTCTTCCCGAGCCTTCCTGTCCCCCAGGCTCCCCGACTTCCGTCTGAGGCACCGTGTCCTGTCCAGACTCTTCTAAGGTGCTGCCCGATCTCACCCCACCAGCACCATCCCCAGCCAGCTGTCCCACTCACACTCAGGCAGGGGGAGACCCTTAGCCTCCTAATTGATCGCCCAGCCTTAATTCTCTTCTTAATCCAGTCCAATGTCCACACTTGGACCCCAGTGATTTTCCTCCAGTGGCTTCCCATTGCCACTGGGCTCGAATGGATGTCAACTGCTGTGGCCCCGAGCCAGCTCCCAGCCTTCTCAGGTCCCTCTCGCAGAGCCCGGCAGGCCTCCGCACCAGCCACCCCGCCTCCCCCATTCCTGGAATGTGTGCCCCCTGCAGAGGTGGAGCTCAGGCCCCACCTTCTACAGGAAGCATTTCCTGATCTGCCCAAGCTGCCCGCATCAGGTGGGCACTGCGCTGACTGTGTGATTACCCTGTATACTCCCATAGACACACTGTCTCCCTCCACTAGCAGTAGGAGAATGGAAGCTCCTTGTGGGCAGGGCCCGCTTCACCCTCGCCGTGGTATCATCTCCAGCACCTGGCATTCCCCTGTGTGCCTGGACCAGAGAAAGGCGTAATACATGCTTGCGGACTGACAAACAGGCAGGCGGGAGGGCAACCAAGAAAGAAAGGCAAACACCCGAACGCTCGTGAAAAACTCACCTTTCCCATTTAACACTCCAGGACAAACTACAGAGACACAAGCAAAACTCAGAGCGCCGACTTCTGGGAAAGAAGAAGGAAAAGGTGCCCAGTGCAGGGGCCTTCCCCTAGTCTGGGCCCTGCAGCCCTTTGGCAGCTGCCTGGTGAAGCCCGCTGACCCGCCCCTGAAATGTCTCCAATAGGTGCAAGAAAGCACGCAGGGTCACCAAGGAAGCCACAGTCAGGGAAGATAAAGGCCTGAGTCATTTCTCTACCCACATTCACACATCCCTCATAATCTACCCATAGGCCCCCAGGAGGAGAAGCCACTGAGTTTTATCGATTCTTTCTGGATAATTTCTCTCCCTTCCAGTCCTTCCCATTCCCAATGCTGCCAACCCTGCTTCAGGCCTCATTAGCTCCTTCCCTGGACACCTGGTTGCTTCTCCCTTCTCTTGCCTCTTCCCTTCCAATCTCTCCCTTGCTCTGACCTTAGACTGACTGGCAGGATCCTGCTCAGAAACCACCCATGATTCCCTAGTGCCTATAGGGCAAAATCCCAACCTTGAGCTATAGGCATTCAGAGACTCACACAATCTGGCCCCGAGGCTCATTGCCCTGACCTTCCCCACCACAAAGTGCAGCAACTCCACTGATATTGAGCTTTGTAAGACTCACAAAAGACTTTACAACTCAGAGCTTCTTTGAACCTCACCCCACACACACCTGTGGATAGGAAGCAGAGAGATGATTATCTCCATTCTACAGAGGAGGAAACTGAAGCCCACAGGT